ATACAAACAGCTAAGTTTACTTCACTCCTTTCCCTAGGGTTCAGACTGACAAGATAAAGATAAATGCAAGGAGATAAGAACTCCTTCCAAAAAGCAACACAAAGAACAGGGGTAGCTAACTTTTGTTGATGGACTATTATTTCCCTAAGTCCTGACCATTGGTCATGCTGGCTGGAACTGATAGGAGTTTGGAGTCCAACAACATATGGAGGGCAACAAGTTGTCCACTATTATCATAGAGTAAAGATAAAGTAATGAAAAGTTAAAATATTGTGAATCTTGAAAAATGCAGGAAATTTGTTAAGAAGAAATTTAATCAGCATTGAATCAAATATGGCTAAAAGTTTTTTGCTTTAAAGGGCAAAGCAATGCAAATCAACACTGGCCTGCAAATTAAAAGATGTGAGCCACTACCTGGACCTGGGGTGATTTTAGTTGCTAGTTACTAGTTACTAGAAAACTCCAATGTAGGAGAATCCACAACCCCTCTCGGGAGTTTGTTACACTGTCGAATAGCTTTTACTATCAGGCAGTTCTTCCTGATGCTCAGTCAGAATCTCCTTTCTTGTAACTTGAATCCATTGATACAGATCCTACCCTCCGGAGCAGAACAAACTTGCTTCATCTTCCATGTGATAGCCCTTAAGATATTTGAGGAGGCTATCATATCTCCTTTCAGTCTCTTTCCCAGGCTAAAACATACCCAACTCCGGCAACCGTTTCTCATAAAGCTTGGTTTCCAGACCCTTGATCATCTTGGGCATCCTCCTCTGCACACATTCCAGCTTGTCAATATCCTTCTTAAATTGTGACACCCAGAACTCGACACAGTATTCCAGGTGTGGTCTAATGAAGGCATAATAGAGTGGTATTATTACTTCCCTTGACCTGGACACTATACCGTATTTTTTGCTCTATGAGACGCACCAGACCACAAGACGCACCTAGTTTTTGGAGGAGGAAAACAAGAAAAAAAATATTCTGAATCTCAGAAGCCAGAACAGCAAGAGGGATCACTACGCAGCGAAAGCAGCAATCCCTCTTGCTGTTCTGGCTTCTGGGATAGCTGTGCAGCCTGCATTCACTCCATAAGACGCACACACATTTCCCCTTACTTTTTAGGAGGGAAAAAGTGAGTCTTATAGAGCAAAAAATACGGTAATTCTGCAGCTTTTTTTTTGCTGCTGCATCACACTGTTGACTCATGTTAAGCTTGTGGTCCACTAAGACCCCCAAATCTTTTTCATATGTACTGCTAATAAGCCAGGTGTCCCTCATCTCAAATTTGTGCATCTGGTTCTTCCTGCCTAAGCACAGAACCTTATATTTGTCCCTAGTTAAATTCATTTTGCTAGTTTGGGCCCAGTTCTCCAATCTGTTAAGGTCATTTTGAATCCCAGTTCTTTCTTCTGATGCATTAGCTACCCCTCCAAGTTTAGTGTCATCTGCAAATTTGATGAGCATCCCCTCAATTCCTTCATCCAAGTTGTTTATAAAGACATTGAACAACAGTGGGCACAGGACAGAGTGCTGCAGCACCCTTAGTGAGCACACTTTGGGTTCAGTCAACCAGTTATAAATCCACCTAAGAGATACCTCATCCAGCCCGCATTTTACCAGGTTTTCTGCAAGAATATCATGGGGGACTTTGTCAAAAACCTTGCTGAAATCAAGACACACCATACCCACAGCATTTCCCTTATCCACCAAGCTTGTAACTCTATCAAAAAAAGAAATGAGATTTGCCTGGCATGACTTATTTTTGAGATGGCCATACTGGGACTTAATAATCACGGAATCCTTTTTTAAGTGCTCTCAGATTGACTGTTTTATTATCTTTTCTAGGACCTTTCCTGGTATCAATGTCAGCTCACCTAGGTCTTCTTTTCTCCCCTTTTTGAATATGGGGACATTTGCCCGTTTCCAGTCTGCAGAGACCTCACCTGTTCTCCAATAATTCTCAGATTATAGAAAGAGGATCTGAAAATACATTGACTACAGCACTGAACATGGCTAGCTAAAATAATTTTTAATTTACTTGTAGAATCTCCTGGATTCTGCTTGCAATGTTAGAATCAAATACTGAATATATGAAGAGATTGATTACATAGCTCAATCCTACACATGCTTACCTGGAAGTAAGCTAGACTGAATTTAATGCAGCCTTGTAAACAAGCCACATTTCCTAGCCTGCCAGTCAACACATCCCTATGTTGTTCATTTGTGAAATATAAACTGCCTGAAAATGAGAGGGCGCATTTCAAATTTATAAAAGTTTCCCTGCCTGGTCACCAAATGACTACCGTATTTTTTGCTCTATAAGACTCACTCCCCCCCCCTAAAAAGTAAGGGGAAATGTGTGTGCGTTTTATGGAGCGAATGCAGGCTGCGCAGCTATCCCAGATGCCAGAACAGCAAGAGGGATCGCTGCTTTCGCTGTGCAGCGATCCCTCTTGTTGTTCTGGCTTCTGAGATTCAGAATATTTTTTTCCCTTGTTTTCCTCCTCCAAAAACTAGGTGTGTCTTATGGTCTGGTGCGTCTTATAGAGTGAAAAAGAGGGTATTTCATCTCACCATAGGCAACCAACCAAAGACTGTTTAGAAATGTGGCTTAATAGAACCTCTTTCCTAGTAACCATACATACAAGTTCTATGCTTTAAGTAATGAAAGTTGGCCAATCTTGGTTTGCTGTTTCTTTTAAAATGAAATATCGCAAGACCTAAAGAATCAATAGAAGTGCAAATGCAGTCTAATCAAGTAAGTTCCAATGTGAACAGAAGTGTGCCTAGGAGTGCAACATTCTATTACTTTGCTGACTGAGTACTTCCAGACTGCATAATACAGCAATAAGAAATTGAATCAGTGGTACCTACTTCAAATGAACTTTTATAGAATCAGACTGTAAATATGTTTGTGCCACAGTCTTTTTAAAAAATTAAAAAATGCATTTTAAAAGAGGAAAAAGTGATTGAAATATAACCTATTATGTATTCTAGAGCTGAGGAATCTTGAGTAAATAGGCTAAAATCTCAATGAGGATAGACAGAAGAAGTAAATGAAATACAGATACCTTTGTATTTTAGGGTTTCCCCCCTAAGGATAAGAGGAAGGGGAAAGGGAATAAGCATTCAAGAGAAAGCTACTAACTTTATAAACAGCTAATACAGTGGTACCTCGGGTTAAGAACTTAATTCATTCTGGAGGTCCGTTCTTAACCTGAAACTGTTCTTAACCTGAAGCACGACTTTAGCTAATGGGGACTCCTGCTGCCACCGCGCTGCTGCGTGATTTCTGCTCTTATCCCGAGGCAAAGTTCTTAACCCGAAGTACTATTTCTGGGTTAGAGGAGTCTGTAACCTGAAGCATCTGTAACCTGAAGCGTCGGTAATCCGAGGTACCACTGTAAAGGAATATGTTTGTCCAATCATATACTTGTCAAGAAACTTTCAGCATCACCCCTCACATTATATGGTGGCTAACATGTACTTTCAGCTACGTATACTCATGGCAGAAGCTTCAGCCAATTCTAGTTCCTTATCTGTTTGATACATGCAAGGCGAAAATGTTGATATATATCTTTGCACATATGTGTATTATATAATGTATTGAATTGGTCCTTCACGAAAGGATTTCTAGCCTTTGGGTAAGTTTGACAGAAATCTCTCTCACACACATTCACACTTTTCCCAACTCAACTATTTTCATAAATAAATAGCTAAAAATAAACACTAAAAATCTAAAAATGTAGTTTTTAAATAGTGGCTGCGAGGCATGAAGGTGTATTAGATTATTCAACACCATGTGTGACGTTTAAGCTTAATTCACTTGGGGAAACAAGAACCCCAAGTATTTATTCTAACATGGTAGTTGCATAGCACTTTCTAGTATTCAAACTACATGACATGCATTGTCTAGTTGTGATCCTTCAATTGTAAAGGAAATCAGTATCATTATATCCTGTGCTGCTGATGGGGGGAATGGAGCAAAGAGTAGCTTGTCTAAGGCCTCCTACTGAATTTATGCAGAGATGATATGCATACAAGATCCTTTTTGTTTGGTAGCTCAGTCTCTTAGGTCACTATACTGCATCTATCATGCTAAATTCCATCATGTTCAAGTCAGAGAGATGGCACTAAAGGGCCGCTCCATAAAGCTCAGCTGCAACACCACCAACTTTTGGCTCCTCCTCCCCTTGAACTCTTCCTTCCAGCTGGCCATTACAAGAATTCTGTCACTTAAGACCCCAGCTTGATCCCTTCTAGGTTTATTACTGTCACTATATAGTATAAGCTTTTTCGGCTAAGGAGTGGCAGCAAATACTTTAAACAAACGTCCAGGAACAGAGCCACGACCAATCAATGGTGGAAACCACTTTTATCTGGTAGACTTTCTTGGAACGTAAAACATATCCAGAGGTGGGGAGGGTGCTTTAGTTACAGGTCAGTGTATCTTTGGGCAGAGAGGGATTAAATGGTGTGATCCTTTAGGGCCTTGCTCCGAAGGCGTGTCTGACAGGCCTGGAGTGAGAAGTCTTGGCGGAAGGCCCAGCGCATCTCGAGGCCTTGTCAGCCCCCCCCGGGGGGTTGTTATCACCACTCCCCTATTGCCTCACCGAAGCGTCCGGCGTGGCCAACGGGGCTCTTCGGACGCGTCCGAAATGAGGTCAACGACAAGCACCCCACCCGCTGTCCCGAGGCCCCGGCTGCACCCATTTCAGGGCCTCCGCCCCGCTCCCTTCCCGGGAACTCTCTGGGCGGAGAGGCCTTGAAACCAGACGGCAGCGAGGGGGCTCTGGAGGCGCTGGCAGCCGAGCCCTAGGCCTCGCCAGGCCGCGGGCGGGGCCCTGGGCCGAGCACCTCCCCCTGCCGAGCCCAGTCACCACCACGTCGGCGCAGCCAACACTGCGGAAATGGGGCAGCCGAGAGGCGTTGCGCAGGAAGCGCCGAGGCCGCCAGCAGCGCAGGCCCCTTTTAAACCTTCCCCGGCGGGCCGCCCTTACCTGTGTCCCCGATTATGATGTACTTGAAGAGATACGCGTAGGCCATGTCCTTCCAGTCGCCGCCGCCGCCGCCTTCCTGCGCCTCCTGCTAGGGCTGCTTGCTGCTTGGTGACGCGGCGCGCACTCCCCCGCCCCTCGCTGTCAGGGCTCGCGCAACGGAAGGTTCGAAACCGTTGGCAGCGGGCCCCCCTCCTCCAGCTCCTTCCAACCGCCCTCGGGCTTCTGACAGCTTCCCTCAGCGAGCCTCCCACGCCGGCCTTCCGCGTGCGGCTGGCCGCCTCGCCTCCCCTTCTTTCCCCGGCCGGGCCTTTGGAGGTGCCTTCAGAGCGTCCCGAGGAGCGCGCGGTTCCAGGCGGCTCGCGGAACGGACGGAGGGCCGGTGGGAAGGCGGGCGGGGGTGGGGGAGAGAGCGAGGGAAGCAGGAACAATAACAGGCGCGAGGCTCCCGAACGCTCCGGCAACGTCACGCAGCGCTCTCTCCGCCGACCCGGAAGTGCTGAAGCAGCCGGTGCCTCGGCCTCGGCGTGCGGGCGAAGGGGAGGATCCCTGGGAGTGATGCGAAGGACGGGGCGGCCGAGCGCCTGGCGCCTTCGGCCTTGGGGTGGGGCCCGAGGCTCCTGGGCCGCCGCCCTGTCCGCTGCAGGCCGAGGAAGAGCCCTTGCTGCCTCCTGGAGGGAAGGGTCGCTGCGAAGCGCATTGTCGCCCCGGCTCTGGCTGGAGGATCTCAGCGGCCTCATCCTGGCACAGCAACATTTGCACTTTTAACTAGAGCCAGTTGGGGTTTTTTTGGAGGCGGGGAGGCGAGGGAAGTAAAACAAAAGGCACCATACGGGCTTGCGGATCGCCACATCACTTCTGGCAGTTTTTCAGATTTCCCTCTGGGTCCAAACGGAATGTCAAATGTGTCGCTGTATACAAAACGAAAGCCATGGCAGCGGCTGGACTACTCTTTCCTTCTACTCAGTGCAGAAAGATGTTGTGCATTGATCAGCCTACATTATTGGGAAGCTGAGATGGAAATGGTATAAGAGCAATGGACTGGAATGTCCCAATGACTTCTTTTTGTGCAAGTCTGCTCCATATCACAAATAACCAAAAAGTCTCTAGAAGTTGCCAGTGGTTGCATGGGCGTAGACAGAGGGCAAGTGCCCCCTAAATTAAGTAAATCAATAAAAATACTTAACTGAGGTTCTGCTCCACCCCTAACTTGACGGCTGCCCTCCCCCCCCCCATAAATCCTGGTTATGCCCATGAGTTTCTAGAATTACAGTCGTATGCTGCTGTCACTTTAAAAATGGCTTGAAACGTTTGCAGACAAAAACATTTTTCTTCTTCCAGGCCTTTGGCTAAATAAATCTATGGCCTTTTAAACTTGTTCAAAGAACTGGGGGGTGTTTTTTTATTATTATTACATATTTTTGTGGTTTTACACAGTAAACTGCCCTGTGATCCTCAGATGAAGAGTGGTATATAAATTTAATATATATCGAAAATAATAACACGAAAATAATATCTAGCACCAAACATGACTTGCTGACTGTTGCCAGTGAGTGTTTTCTTTTGCCCTGTGCATTTTTATTGTAATTTTTACTGTTGAACTCTGGTTGTGTCATACATACCAATCTCCTTTGGCATCCCTATGTATGCACACACCCCATGGATAAAGAACAGAAAGATTGTGAGTGGGAAGCTCCAGCATCAATAGGATTAAGCTGTTAATCATTCTTAAGGAGACTTCAACACTTGCCCAGTTTATACATTAACTTCATAGTGTGGTTGCCATGCCATATCTTTGGGGCCTACAGATGTCATCATGTGAGAAACTTGGGCCAGCAGCTTTTCATATACCTTTAATCTCAAAAATGCAGTAAAGGGGTCATAGATTTTTTTTTTACAGAGCAAGCTAGTCCTCCCCACTCCCCCATCCCACAACAAACATTTTTTTAAAATACCCTCAGAACAAAAAGCAGGGGAAATAGCGTTAGTGGCATTGGTACAATACATAATAATCTGTCCATGACATAATAGCATCGTTTTCACTGAGCACAGACACCAGCTAAGGGATCAGCAGAGCAGTTGTGAAAGTATTTATAATTCTATTATTTATTACACTTGTATATTGTAAGCCAAAGCAGTATAAAGCCCTCTCCTTACCAATATAAAATAAACCAAAGCCAAAACCAATATAAAATAAACCAAAGCAGTATAAAGCCCTCTCCTTACCACCACCGAATGAAAACATCCCAGCACAAAACCCAGTTGCTGAAATGATTGAAAACCCAGCAAGAGATAGTTTGGTATGAAAAACCGAAACACCAGATAGGTTGTGTCTGAGAGAGCACTAAAGTCTACATTGTGCCAAGAAGACTATAGCATGGTTGCCAGACAAGCCTCTCTATAGGACATTCTGTAATCGGCACCACCACCGAAAAAGCCCACTTAATATTTCTCTTTATTATTAATGTACCTGTTTCTTGAAGAGAAATGGAACCAAATGGAACTCTGGGAAAAGAAGAGATAAACCAACAGACCCGCCAAGTGTCCCTGTTTTCAAGGGACACTCCTGCGTTCACAGAAGCTGTCACGGTTGATCCCAGAATGCCCCGGTTTTCCTTAGGACGTCCCTATTTTCATCAGAGAAATGTTGGAGAATATGACCCCTGAGTCAAGGAGATACAACCATTAGAAGACATCTGAAGGCAGTTTTTAATGTTTGATTTTTTTAATGTTTTTATATATGTTGGAAGCTGCCCAGAGTGGCTGGGGCAACCCAGTCAGATGGGCGGGTTTACATAATAAAATAGTTATTAAATAGTACGTCTCTGTTTTCATTGGAGAAATTTTGGAGGGTATGTAGAGCTATTATGTTACAGTCATATTTATTTAATTTATATCCCACCCTTCCCAAAGAGCTCAGGACCACAAAACAGATACACAATTAAAAACGTAAACAAAGCAAAAGCATTCTAAAGCAGATTAAAACATTCTAAAAACTATTACAATTACAAACTCGGGGACATTATTTCAGTCAAACCACAATTCATGTTTTGCCACATGGGTGTATGAAGGAGCTGAGGCTCACAAAGCTTTCTTATAAAAATTTCCTAGAGAGAACTCTCTGAGATAACTTCCTTTATCTGCCTTGGCAGGAAGCTGTAACACTACATATTTCTTCCTGCTTGCACATCTTTTTTTCTCCATCATTCTTTCAAGCTGACCACGTGTACATGTCTGAGCTCTGCAGATCACTCACCATTTTTGTACTTTTGTAACTTAAATAGTACTTTTAAACCTGTCTTCATTATGTCTTCATACCTACATATTATGTAGGTAAATACTACTTATATTTCTTCACAGAACTCTGTGTGATTGTTGTTTTAAGGTAGAGAAAAGGAGTAATATCCAGTGTGCCTGAAAGCATCTTGCATTATTGCTTCTAGAAGGTTAAATCAACCTTATCTTTGCTTCTAAGTTTAAGCTACAAAAGATGGTACTCTGCTGATCTCACTAACGTAGACAAGGAAAAGTACTAGCTAAATATATTCTCTCCTGGTGTCTAAATCCATCCCTACATAAACAACGAAAGGCAGTTCCAGTTCCAGGCAAAGGTCTAGCTACCAGGACATGGCTGCCTTGTTCAGCAGCTACCCAGGCCTTCCTCTTAGAGCCATCTCAGGAGATTTGGAAAGTGAACATGAAAGAAAAGACCTTTCTGTTGTAATGTAGCAATTCAGCAACACCCTTCCAATTGAAGTACTCTTCGTCCAGCTTCCTTTTGTGTCTCTTGCTAGAAGCTGGATATGTTTTTATTTTGACTCATGTTTAATAAGCAAGACCCAGTTCTGTTGCTGTGTAACATTTTTTACTTTTGCTGCTGTTAGATTTTTTGTTTTGTGTGTAAATGTTGGTATGTATATGTTATTTGTACAACCTTGGCAGAGATAAGGTGCGATGGTCCATGGTTTTCATGTAGACACAATTCAAGCCAAATGGCTTCTACTATGAAACTGAGATTACAGAGTCCCCCTTATGTGAGGACTCGTGTCACTTCAGAAGGACACATATGAATTTGACACACTGATGCAGTCATTTGGGCAACCGTAGCTGAGATATACATACAAAGCATTTTCATGAAAGAGATAATATAGTGCTTTCCTAAATGCCATCTGCAATTTTCTCTTTGTTATAACTTCATGTATAGGGTAAGTGTACTGCCTTAAATAGTAGGAACTGAATTGGGCTTTGTACACATTTTGTTAAAGTTCTTAAGATTGCCTAAATTATAGAAAAAGTGACAGTTACAAGTGACATCTGCAAGTGCTTGCACTGTCGTTGAAAAGAGCATAATGTGTTTGTGTATCGTTTATGAGACTAATGCAACTAAGGACAGAAAGGGCCTTTTGACAAATGCTGTGCTACAATTGGAGATCTGTTTGTCAAAGAGACAGCTCTTTATTATTCAGCTGGGTAACCAGAGTGTTTGGTCATCTGCTGAGTGAACCTCTGCAGTAGCTCTGCACAGTAGCTATTAACTCATAATCAAATCATAGCAGAAATAAACACATGGACTACTCTTCAGTACTGTGAAAGTCACTGTATAAGTTGAACGAAATACTGAAATAATCTGGTCATTCCTTGGGCAATAAAAAAAAGAGAGAACGAGAGAACAATGCTTTCTTTTACAACGTAACAACTGTAATGACATTTTGGAACTGCAGTGGGGGGGGGGAGCAAATTTCTAGTGCTTCGATAAAACTGTGCTAGAAATATGCACAGTTGCCTGTATGTCACACAATTCCCTACACTTCATTTCACTGCTTAATTCTAAAAGGGAGAGGTACCAGGGCTCCACCTTGCTTGAAAGTGACTACCTCTGACTTGGAAATCGCTGTCTTAAAATACAGGTGTTTTCAAGCAGGGTGTGATTAGTCTATGGTGGAAAACAACTCTGTGTGTGAGTTAAGAAGCCTCTTTATTACTGCTTTAGAAGCTGGTGGCTGCCAATTTTGATGGACGCATATTCTGCCTCCCCCCCTCCCCCAGTCATTTGCCCTTCACCTACCTCTGCTTTGGACTGACATCAGGTAACTCAGAAGAAACACACAGCTTGGTGCAGCATGAGCTGTCTTCCTGTCAACCACCTCCACAGGTATACCTAGGCTTGCTTCCTGCCCTTGGCAAGGAGCTGTATCGGCACCCTCTGTGTCCATTGCGCCCTTGGCAAAGAGCTCCATCAAGATACCCAGACACTCCATCAAGACACCCAGAGGAGCCTGTGTGCCTCGCCTGGCCACCCAGAGCAGTGGAAGAGTGGTCTGGGGAGTGCACAGATTGGTGGGTGGGTTCTGTTATAAGAAAAAAACTGCTCCTTTTCCCTTATGGGGTACCTGAGGGCCCATATAGAGTCCTTTTGTAGGTTCTCTATCGGTAGGAGAAAATAGCAGAGGCCAACCAGAAAAT